CTAGCTCGTTATTCGTCCAGCCGTTGTCGCTGACTGCGATCGCCCAGTCGCGTGGGATCTCTGCTTCGTACCAGGCGGATAGATGATATTTGCCAGCCAAGATGACGAATGGCGGAACTGCCCAGCCAGCTGCGTTAATCGCTGCGATCAGCGTTACCCACCCACGATTGCCTGGCTCAACTGCCTTTGGTCGGCCCCTCCTCTCTGACGCTGTTACGACTAGCTGAGTCGTGATCTTGCCCATCATGAAGCCAGCTTCGTCGAAGTTGTAGACGTCCTCGTCACAGATGCCGTACTTAGCCTTTGTCTGCTCTACAAGCTCAAACCAGCTCTTGATTAGGACTGGATCTTCACATAGAGCTCTCTGCCTATCGTACGCTCGATTGAAACGCGTCGTAAGACTGTCTGTACGCTTGACAAAGTTGGCTGGCCACTTCTGCCCAACCTGGCCAGCGCCGCGCGCAGCCAGCAGCTTATCAGCCATATCGCGCACAGCAGCATACGTGGGCGCAAATCCACGTAGATCTAGATCAAGTATATGATCAACTATCACCTCCTCTTCTAGCTTAGTGAGCTTCTTTAAGTTAGGCTAGCAATCGCGTCAAGCAGGTATACCAGCGCGTCGGCGGCGGATTGTTCGTTCAGACACGTTGTAGACAGCAGCAGCGCGACGATTACTTTGTGTTTAATAGAGATTAATAGAAGAAATAGCAAGCTAAATATCTGCTTCATTTAAAGCTAATTAAGTAGCGCTACGTTGAGCCATTGTTCGTTGAGATAGGAGAGGTGCGCAGGTTTGGTGGGGTGCGGCGCTCGCTTGCCTGCGGCGCTCGCTTGCCACATACGTTATTTAAAGTGGTAATGTGCATTGTATGAGTGATCTTAAGGTGCAGACGTAGCGGCTTCTATAACGCAATATTATACAATTTCTACTAGAGTTTCTCCACCTTTACCATACGTAATACAAATTTGTTCTTGTCATAATCATATCATTACATTCTTAAAATATTTTAATACTGTTTCGCCTATACTTAAAAGTTATTTCAAAGAGAGTGGTTTTTTTTAAATATATTGGTCGTTAACCTTCTACTGTAGAGGTGTGGTGTGGAACTGCGATGTCTGCTTAGTAGGTGGAACAGACCGGTGGGCTCTTTCCCTTCGCCTTGCGTGCCAGGAGAGGGGAGAGAGAGTAAATTATAAGAAGTAGTATCTTTAAGCAAGAGATTTTTCTAAGAGATGTTGTTAATTTCTTTTTCCTATAGACCTAGCTACTAATTTATCTTTCTCAAGAGAGTGAGCAGTGCGTAGATAGCACAAGGGTCATGGTGACCTGTGCCTCGGCACACTACGTCGAGTGTATTATAAAGGTAGTTAATTTTGTGTTATGTATAACTTGAAAACTTCTAACACCTATCTTTCTCTTACTATAAGCGTGAGGTAATAAAAGTACTAACCTAATAAACTATATCAGCATACAATGAGAATTTTAGAAGAGATATATAATATCAATATAGGCTAATAAAGCTCATAGCAGGGGGGATTATAAAGAAAGAAAGAAAGAAAGAAAGATAAAAAGGTCATATGTTGTGTCACAACTAGAAAGGGTGTCGTGAAAATGGTTTGATCGAATTCCAACTACAAATCAGGATTGAATTCCAATGCCAGCCACAGATCAACACCGGAGCCATTTCCAGCCTGCCACTTATGCCACGGGTATTGAACAACATTGTTCTTTCCCCTCATGGGTTTCCCGTAAGGATCGCGCTTCCAGATTCCCCCATGTTCCTCAAGCGGCTTGAGCTCAAGGTGGTCAAAAGCACTCTCATCCAACGTATTCATGTCTTTGGGAGGAACATCCTCAAATTCGGCTTTCAGTCGACTCATTCCACCGGTGTCGGTGCCTGAGTTGAGTGAGATATGTATCTCCGAGAAGAGTGCGTCGGAGTGGTTGTGGACTCCGCAATTGACACCACTGCCTGCAGTCCAAAACTGCATATGGCAAATGGGCTTCTTGGAATCCAGCAATCTGATATGAAACCCGGCCAAATTGTGGAAGTTTGCATTCTTGAAAAATGGGTTGTCGATCCCCCACCACAGACTGTCGACGCTATTGATATGCAAAGAATCCAGATTTGCACCAAGTGAACTGGTGTCTAATTTTGTTACGACTGGGACATCACCCACAGTTGAGAACAAGGAGGGACTCGAAATTGGAACTAGTCGCAGGAGGATTGCACCGGTAATGTTTGACGCATATGCAGTATTGTAAGAACTCGTAGTCATGGAAGCTGTGAATGGCGCTACGCTGAAAGGGGACCGGATCTCCACTGGTTCTTCGGCTGGCATTGTCGCATAGGACTTACCTTCAGAAAAGAAGCCAATAGAACTATAAAGGACCTTGATACCGTGCCCAGCCCCGACAGGGATAGCATGCCCCTTCGGATAAACCTCTGTACTAATAGCATAGTTGCCAATATCGATTAAAGGAATGGAATGCGGATGTTGGAGAGATCTATCGTTTGCGGGATCCCGAACATACACCATACCTTCCTGATCCCAAACTGTGGGAACAATCGCTGGTTCGACATTGGCGGGCCGTGATCTGACAAAATCATTGAGGTACAACCTAACAACAGGGCGTGGTTCCTCATAGTAGCGTTTGACATTGTAACTGATCGAGACAAGGTCGACAAGGCCTTTACCCGCAAAATTTCCCAGGGCGATTCGAGCTGTCGATTCCTCGGCGATTCGCCATTTAGCGAATATCCCGTTCTCTAGGTCCAGTGGTTTGTAGTACATGATTCCCTTGTTAGGGTTGGGCCCAGGACCGGGCGGAATAGTTTCGCCATGTTCATCGCGGTCCAATGGTCCGAACAGGGATAGTAAGAATTCATCGTTGCCATCACCATCAAAATCAGCACAAACGATGAAATGACCAGGGCCATCTCCCGTCTTGAGCTGCTGATTCGGTGTACCGTAAACATCAAGCACATGTCGCTTCCACTTTTGCTGCTTCATGCCGCGATCAACCTTGGTGTAGACGCATGCGGCGATGCCATGAAATGGATCTAATGTTGCAATGTAAGCAAATGGATTGCCACCAAATTTGCCAGAATCTGAACATCCAGATCCCCAATGATCACCACTGCCTGGGGATTCCGAAGTTGGGGATTGTCGCGGCTCCATTGGTTCGCCAACGGTTATAAGCTGCCGATGCCATTCCTTTTTCTCGTAGTATAGCCATGTGAGGCCCTCACGAGAGCAGATAAGCATTGAGTCCAGACCACCAGGTCCATTGAACCTATCTTGTTTAGCCCTGTTGTTACAGTGTATGAAGACTGGGTCGCATACTTGCGTACGGTGACTTCGTGAATGACGGTGAAATTCTCATCGTCAATAATATCCCTAGGCCATTCAACACTACCGACACGTATTAGTATTGGAAGATGACACGAGTGTGTGTTTTGGGTCACGTACGCTTCCAGTACCTTCTCGGGAGCTTGGAACCTGATTATTGGGATAGGAGTGGTCTTGTCGTGTGGCCCATATACAACGGATGCAGCAACAATCTCAAGGTAAGACCTATGCATGGTCGTTCTGTTGTCACGAAAGAAATTGGAATGATGAAATACCTTTGTGTGAAATGTCCTGCTTTGATCCTGTGCATGGCTGGCCATCTACCAATGTAGCGTTCTTTCCAATGACCATACTTCAGTCTGTTACGTCCCGGGTTCTCCAGCCATGTGATATGGCCACCAGCTAGATTGCACTCTAGCATGAAAGGGCCGTAATCATGGCATATCACAAGATCCATGAGCCCATTGCCAGTAATATCAACTGCAGTGACTGCAACTGGAGAGTCGAACTTTCCAATCTCATACTTTGTCCATTCTTGAGTGAATCAGCGAAAGTTGGGCAAAGACAAAACAAACCTACCACAAGTGGGCTTCACATCGTTGAGCTGACCATTGTCACACTCGATATCCTCGCGGGCTTTGTGCTCAGCTTCGGCAATTGGATTGTCAAGAAACTCAATGAGCCCAGAGACAAGGCCAGATCTGTCCGCATAGATCAGGATAGGAACAAGTGTAACATATCTTTGGATGTGACTCACACTATGATCCCAGGTACACGGTCGTGTTCCAGGTCAAAATGAAATGTTTCAACCCAGTAACCATCATTGCGGTCAGACGGTAAGACTGAGGAACTGTATCGAGGTACCTGCACTGAGGTGGTACCTGCCTGGGCAGGACCTGTGTTCGATGGTGTCAAGCTCTGCATGGGACTTACTCTTCTCTCGCAGTCATCCATTGCGCAATCTCAACTCCAATGAAATATATATTTTATCGAAGCTTGTCGATATCACGGATAGATAAGTGAACACTCAACTAAGTTGTGGGCCATGTTTGTGAGTTTTTATATGTTAAATGAGCTGAAAGTTGATTCTTCATATTATGCATGGCGATACCGCTGGCTAATAAACGTGCTTCAGGTATTCCGTTGTGACAATGATGACATTATAGGATTAGTGCTCAAGTTCATGCATTATGTGAGGAACTTATGCAAACTACTACTACGGTTTCTTCCATGGTGTGACAAACGGTATAGCAGTCTGTGCTCGGTGTCAGGTAATATATTTCATGCCTCTATGCCTTGGATGTATTATCCATAGTCTCTAGTACGAATGATTAATATGTGAAAAGAAACGACATGGATGGCTTATGCAGCATGTGTATCAAGGATGATTGCTATAGAGGATCTCTGTAGCACTGAAGTAGATCCATCAGACTCCAAGACTTCCCTCCCTGCCCGAAAGTAGTCATTTGATCTAATTCTATTATTGGAATACTTATGGAATTCAGCAATCTATCCTATACAACTCTGATACGCAATTCTGAGAAGAATTGAATACTTATTAATTGTTAGATTCGATGAATGCATGGAACTACACACTGCCTAATCAGATGCATATATATGCGCTAAGCAAGTTACACAACTCCCGCATGCAACTCAACATACCCGAGCAATGTGACATGCGTAGTGTATTCAACAAATTCTGAATTATGCATGTGAGATAGCCCGCCCCGGCAGAATATAAGCAGCTAACGTCGTATCCTGCATACCAGCCAAGAGCTGAATGCAGAGAGAGTTAAGCGACTCAGGCCATGCGAGTTGTTTGCGAATCACGTCTGTTCCAAGATACAGCCCAGCCAGCCACTTGCCTCATACCGCCTGAAGATTCTCCCAACGAGTCTCAAATCGATATTGTTCAGACGCTTTGCCGAAATAGCTATATTGATAGATTATAGGTTCGGATATGAGGTGACCTGACATCGTATGATCGTTCTGTGGCGTGTAGTACTATCTCTTTTATCAGGTGAGGTTGTTAAATCTTGTGTTACCTCAAGTTCGCCTAGAGATCTACCCCGCCCTGATCGACCACTGGCATACCAATACGTGTAATTCAAAGCCGAGTATATACACCATCACCGAAGAACTAAGTCTAAACCGTCATCTAGACAGATAAACACGATAGTCAACAAGAATGTCATGACAACTTGAAAACCAAATCTAATATTCTATTGCATGAGCTAGATAGAGGAACTGCATGCCACAGACTGCGGTTCAGCTATGTAGTAGCCGATTTAGTCATCCACGTGTTCTTAAGTGAACAAGGTTTAGTTCGAATTTGCGAACTATTTCTAAAATCGGTATAACCATGACCAGGGCTTTGAGAAAGTCTCAACCGCTGTCCTACTTTCATTAGTCGTTCAACTCCGGTTCTAGTATCCATTGGCATACTACACTCTATGGATTGTTAATGAGCCTTTTATTCTGTCATACTTAATCTTAAAGGTACCGTAATCTTCTACACAGAAAGGAGCTGAATCACATTACTCAACTCCAGTTCGACTGCCCCTGCACTTCCTCATCCCATATTCGACGAAATGGGGCTAGAGGCACTTGACGTGACTCCGCCTACATCGGACAACGCTGATACACCCGCCAAATTCTGGAAGACCCAAGATCCATACATTTTCAAACCAGCGGAGTGGTTCTTCAAAGAAATTGCGTTTGGAAACCCAGTAACCCCCAATACAATTTTGTATGAAGAATCGGATCAGCAAGCTGACGACTTACCGCTTCCGGTCACAAGCCATGGACGGATATTCCGTTTTAATGACCAGTTGGGCTTTCTGCTCATACAATTCATGCGTCCGCAAGTCTGGCGTATCAGATTCCACAGCTCAAATAAATCACCGAGGGACTTCACTGACCACAACTCGAGAACAATCGTCCAGGACACACTTACGAAGACTATTGGCATTTTGGACCTAACTGAAGGCCTATCCTGGCATGTTGAACTGATACACCCGAACAATGAATACTACGTTTTGCAATCCGTCCTCGGTTCCGAATCAGTAGACGACCCGTCTCGCAGGGTGATTGTCCAACTGTGGATTGAACGGAACCCAATCACCATCACTGCAGTGCGAGCAATCAGAACGACCGGTCTCGTGAGGCAGCTACCGACATTTTCAGCAACTGTCGATGTCGATCCTGGGACTATGAAAAAATTGGAAATTGATACACCTCCCGACTCACAGGCTGCCGTTATCTGGCGGACTAAGAATAATCCGCTTCAATGGCTAGGTAATGCGACGATTCTGTCGATTGAAAAGCCACAGAGTGCGAAATACACGGGGTTCGGTGAGCAAGGAGGGCGTAGGATGTTCAAGGACCACGTGTGCATGAACTATTTCAGTGAGCCCTGCCATATTCACTATGTTTGTTATAGCCTAACGAGAATTTCCAGATTTTGACAACATGCGATACTTTAACGTCTATGGGCAGGACCGCATGAATGGGCCGTTTTCGGACAGCGAGCCCTTGTATCATTCTGAGCCTTACTGGATTGAAATGAATGCGCATCCAGGTGCTCAGTCCCAGCTAGCCACGTTCGTGGACAACTACTCCGACGTAAAGCTCGACCTTGGCTGCGTGGACTCCACGCAGCTCAGAATTGCAACAAGGTTCAATAGCTTTCAAAGCATATTCATCGCTGGTGATGACGTTGCTCAGGTTATTCTTTTGTACACATCACTGATTGGCAGACCATATCTAAAGCCACGCTTCGTCCTAGGGAACCATCAGGGCTGCTACGGCTACGACACACGCAAGAAAGTGGAAGATGCAGTCAACCAATATAGGAAGTATCAAATCCCACTAGACGGAATGCACATCGATGTCGATATCCAGCGTCTCTATCGAACCTTCACCATCAACACAGACGATGACCATTTCCCAAGACCAGAGGAAATGTTCAGCGAGCTCCGCAAGAAAGGAGTCAAGTGCAGCACGAACATCACGCCTGTAATCAGTCTCCACCACGACCCCAAAAATCCCTACCCCACTCTTGATGAAGGCCTGAAAAACGGATACTTTGTCATGGACCGCCGCGATATTGACCCGTCCGCGAGCTCCTTCGACAAACAGGTATCTCTCAACTTCGGGGGCGGAAACAGATACTTCAAGAACCCGAACAACTTCGACGATCTTCCACAGTACGAGGTAAGGGGCAACTACCAGCTCGAGAGCCTTTTCAATAAAGACCCTGCCGTCCCCTTCCGAGGCGGCGTCGATTACGGAGGCGGTAGGGGAGCGCCAGGCTATTACCCCAACTTGAACAATCAGGAGGTGAGGAATTGGTGGGGTAGGCAATACACGTACCTTTTCCAGGCAGGCCTTGAGTTCGTCTGGCAAGACATGACATCTCCATGCATGGCTGAAGCTTTTGGCGACATGAAATCGTAAGTCAAACCCCTGGAAGTCTGCATCTTTTGGTCATAAATAGGCTAACAACCGTGAAAAGCTGGCCTTTCCGTCTCCTTCTAGACTCCGACGGCTGGAGCGGGGATCCCCGGGCTGCCGATCGTAAAAAGGCGATTGAAATTTGGTCGCTCTACAGCTACAATCTCCACAAAGCAACATTCCACGGTCTACAGGACCTCGAAAGCCGTAAGAGCAAACGTAATTTCATCATCGGGCGTGGCAGCTTTGCAGGTGCTCAGCGCTTTGCGGGGCTCTGGACCGGCGACAACGCTTCGACGTGGGAATTCTTCGACATCTCCGTAGCACAGGTACTTGCGCTTGGACTTGCGGGAGTGACAGTTGCTGGAGCTGATGTCGGCGGGTTTGAACCAGTACATGATGGTGAGTTGTGGGCAGACCCTGAGCTCGTGATTCGATGGTATTGCGCGTATAGCCTGCTGCCGTGGTTCCGGAACCATTACAGCGGCAAAGAGGGAAAGAAATTGTTCCAGGAGCCATATGCCTTTGCCGAAATTCAGAACACGCCGAATTGGAGGTTTGTACCCGAAAAGGACCGCAACATATACTACTCTGTACTGCCGATATGTCGTTATGTTGTTCAATTGCGGTACAGCCTCCTCCAGCTACTCTACGATGCCATGTTTGAAAACATGATCAACGGTTTGCCGATTGCGCGAGCCATGATCATTACCGATCCATTGGATTCATCGCTCTATCAGGCAAACCAGTGGTACACACGGAGTCAGTATCTAGTTCGCAATGATCTCCTTGTCGCACCAGCTCTCTACAAGGAGTCTCAGCGGAAGACAAGAAAGCTGTACCTACCTGCTCCGGACGACTGGTATCCCATAAACCTGCGCCCAGGAACAAAACTGTATCTGGATGGTATCTTTGCGCAGCCCTTAGCTCCAAAGGTCAATGGTGGTACATATGTCAATTTCGACTGCCACATCTCACCAGATGAGAAGCAGCTACCGTACGCTACACCGATGTACATCCGCGAGGGGGCCATCATACCGCAAATGGCAGTGCAAGACTGGGTGCCCGATCGTACGCGGGACGACAAGGATGCTCCACCGAATCCGCTTACGATTAATGTTTACCCGGGCAAGGACAACAGCTACGACATGTACCTTGACGACGGGGTATCTCGTGAGAGTGCCCCTGACAACATATACCTTTCTGCGCTGCCGAACAACGCCAAGGAGCAGGTGGTGACGAAACGGGCCAATGCATATGGAGATCGCGAGGCAAAAAGCATATTCCGAAATGTAAGAATTGAGCAAACGATCATAAGAGTGTTTGCTAGCGACCAGATGAGAGACATACGGCGGATTAGAGCGTCAACGCCTTTCTCACAATATGGAGATGACCTGGTGCAAAAAAGCGTCGGCAGTGAGTACCGTATTGTGATATGGCATGCCTCGAGGTGGCCTGCAGTGGAGATGGACCTAGATTCGGTCAATGTGAGGATCGAAGGTAATGTCCAGGTCAACTGTGAAACAGACAAGGCGCTGCGAGCAACGGTAGCGTGGGTCCCTGTATCTGCTACTACGGACGTTATGTTTTATGTTAGTCATGCGGCCTAAGGCAGGACCAGCAACAATCTCTTCTCTTCTTAAAAAATTGTAGGCACAGTTAGATCAGACTTAGTGGAGTGGATAGCTTACCCAACTGTACAGCTTACCCATGTGCATAGATTACTGATATGCATATTTCACTTATACTAACTAACTCATAGAATACCTTGACTAATCCTTTAGAGTAGTAAGTGGTTCGTAAGCCATCAACTAGGTACAGGCCTCTATCAACAAACTGAGTAGTAACTTTAATAGCCTTCCGACTAAGCGCCGCAATCCTAGCAGGGAAACAAGTGTAGGCAAAGTTCCATACTAGTAACTATAGCTTTACCATAACTAGTTAAACACATTTGAGCGTTGTTAGTCATAGCTTGGTGGTCACACTAGTTACATATGAGAGTGAATTTCAATCCATATCATCGCCTCTTCATTGTACCTTGATTAGAAACCGCAAAAATGATGAAACTTCGAGTGCTTACCACATCTCTTCTCTGCTTACTACACCAGACTTTCTTTTTGTTACTCACCTACCAATATCTACAATGATGTACCTTAAGATTACCGTCGTATTGATAGCAGCCACACTTCAGACATAGCCAGCTTGAGAGTCACAACCAAGTATAATTCTCACCAGAAGCCATTTCCAATGAAATATCCAGACGCCAGGTGTTCGAAGAGATGAGATTTACTAGCTTAAAAGGACTCAGCACGGCTTTTTCCAAAGCCGAATCATTCCTGAACTCGGATTTGATCTTGCAGTTGGCGGACAATTCACTGCACTAAACCTGCATGTCACTGATTCAGTATATCCACTATAGCATATCTCTGTCAACTTCGATGTAAACTACCACGAAATCACTTTCTCAGAGCCAAGGCAAGGTGCCGATCTAGTGCAGCTTGGCTGCGTCATCTGCTAAGCGACTCTTATGGTGTAGGTGGGTGTCATGGCGTGGCCGTAACTAATCTAGTAGCGCTGCTAGGGTTTAGCCGTACAATTGTACGTTTGGCTATCGCTCTGCATTTAGACCCCAGATACGTGTATTTCAAGTTCTCGTCTGCTAATATATGTAGCTGCTTAAGCTATGTCTTATAATCTACTGAATGTCTAGTGTTACACTGTTTCGCTCGTGACTGTGCCTGTACGCTCTTTGAAAGTGGGAGAAGGAGTTAAATTTAATAGCTGCGACCGAGGCAATGACGAGACAAAGTTAGAATGTTTGTTACACTCGTTGTACTTGGATCATGAGACTTAGCTCATGCTTGTATCTACACATGGTTATTTTATCTATTATTCCACAATCCATCTCGCTGAATTCCAATGTTCTTCTCATTACCAGTGGCTTACTTATTAATAAAATGAACAAATCTTACTATAAAACTCACATACATTTATAAAGACTACAAAAGACGAGTATAGACTAATAACTATATAGAGGAGTTTCAAGCCCAACTAGGGATGGTCCCTTGTAGAAACTGAGTATCTCCCCTGAGAGCTGAGATCTAGCTGGGTAGAATGGCGTGCGTGCAGTCACATGATATGTAATGTAGAGAATGCAGTTAGTGTACGCTTATTACCACTACTGAAATGTATCTTGCCACTTGCACATCTCTTTCTTGCGCTTATGTACTGCCTCTATATGTACAGTGGATATCAGATGTTACCGTGAAAATCCGTCGCGTATGTGGACAAATGTTGCATACCGATCCCTCGCCCACCTCCGCGTGCGCTTGCCGAACAAGGCCATGGGTAGACTCAGCCCCATAACCAGTAAACCTAGTATTCCAAGAACGACGAAGCAGTTCTCTATGCCCGAGTCGATCCAGAAGCTGGCGACGAAGGTGAATACCATTGCAAGCGTGTTATTGATGACTGCGACGCCTACCATGCCTTCAAGAACCATTTCCCTGCGCGTGTTAGGAGCGGCCTCAATATCATAGTAATAGTGGACCTACGGGAATGAGTCTGCAAGGTACGACAAACTCAAGTCACCAGCACAGCCATAGCCAAAACCGATGAAGCCCAGCCCAACGTACGGCACAGGCCAATCCCAACCTCGAGCCGTGCCGATACCAAACAGCCAAATGCCGGTAGGGAAGATCAAGGTGCAAAGTGCCATCAGATACAGCCGGTATTCAGCCTCCATCACACCTTTGTTGCGCTTGATCATCCACTGCATGAACGCATCGCTTCCATATCCTCCATAAGCGCAGCCAATGAGACTGCCAATCAGCGTGGGGATGTTCATATTGCCCACCGCAACAGATCCGTAATTCCACGGGTGGCCAGACCATGTGTCCTCTTGTAGGGTGAGATAGAAGGTCAAGCAGGACTGTTGGAAGCCCCATTGCAGTCCGGCATACCACACAGCCGGGAAAGTGAAGACACGCAGGGTGTGCCACAGACGATTAAGATACTGCTTGAAACCTGTTCCGCGCAGGTTCGGTGCCGGGGTGATGATGCGGATGCGCTCCCAGTAAGACTTTTTCCGATCCCTGGATGAGAATTCCGTGTCCGGGGTGGGCTCGCATGCTGTCTTCTCACCGCTGGCACCATCCGGAGAGCTTTTGCTAACGGGCTGTTCGGCGTCAAGGACGACGCGGTCATTGTTATTGGCGGGGTAACGATCGCGCGAGAATTCCGTCTCTTCCAAGCCAAAATAGAAGACGACAAGGCTGCCGCCGCAAATGATAGCACCAACGTAGCCGATCCAACGCCAACCGAGTCCCTCAGATACGTAGGCACCAATTAGAGGGCCAAGATAGGTGCCAATAGCCGTCGCAAATGTGTACATGCCAAGAACACTACCAGTCTGATGTTCGAACCAGATGTCGAGAAGCGACAGTTGGGCAGTAGCTTCGCCGACCGACTCAGCAGCTCCAACGAACAATTGGCTCCACACCACACCGGAGACGCTGTCGATGCGCGCATACCAGATAAGGCCGCCGATGTTGAGCACGAGCGAGGCAAGATAGCCCAGCCTCCGCCCATACAAGTGCACGAGAGGAGAGCTCAAAAGAGCCCAGTAGCCGATGCCGATGAAAAGCACGCCAGCGCCGGTATTGAAGACATCGTAGCTGATGCCATACTCTTGATTCACACCATCAGACCCGGATCCCGCGTTGTTCGAGGTTGCTGCGGTGAGGCCAACCATGTACAGAACGAGGAGCGAGTGCCAGATTTTGCGCCACAAGGACCAGCGCAGCGGATCGTTGGGTGAATTGGTGGGCTGAGGTACAAGGAGGATATTGCCCGACTTCTGCAGCGACGCGTCTCCTGGCAGGGCGTAGCCGCTCTCGTGGAGCCGTCGCGTGCCGGGAATGAATTCTTCTTCACTGTGCGCATTGCTGCGGCTGCGCATTCTGTTGGCGGACATGATAGATTAGAAAGGATGGCCGTCTGACGCTTCCAGCGTCGCTGTTGTTAGCAGGGCAGCATGTCGCAGGAGGCAATTGTATGTATCAAGGAACTGGAACAAACAAGCAGCATGGGATGAAGACTTTTTCGTTATCTTCTTATCTCGGACTTAACCTAGTGCAAACCCCGGGCCGACTACACCTAGAAACGGCAGGTGCAATGCTTCATTGCGCCACAAGACTCAAGCCACAACCATACCGTGTATACTGCCAGTTTGAATGGCATCAGTATCAAGTCTCGCGATTCCTGGGCAATTCATCCCAGGGGGCATTCGGCATCGAAGCCAAAGGTTCCCCTGGCCGTGCAACCGAGATGTGTGATGCTGCCCGGGCTTGGAATTCGACGGCACTGTGTAAATTCCTCTGCGCCTCTACCTGCCCGTTTCCAGTCTAGACAAAGCTGGACGTACTATCGCGATGATCATTCCAACCATTCCTCTACAGTTTCTCAAAGGCTGATTCTTGTATAGGCTTCGCGGTGTGGGGAAGATAGTTCTCAAATACACCCACAAATCGAGTAATTAAGATATTAGTAGGTGCTGCATTGATCCCCACACTTCAACCTCATCGTTACTTTCTATTTCTCGAGCGTTCTATGCTTAGGTATGCAGAATGCCATGTAATATAGAAATGATTAAAGAGCTCCTAGGCATCCAGATGACTAGATCCTGGAAGATCCTGAAAGATAGGTTGGCGGTCGCGAGAAAACTAAAACATGTATCAGGCTTGATATCGCGCAGGCTTAGTAGGGTCTGACTTACTCTAACGTTTTCCCCTACGTCCATTACTAATACTTCTTCGGAAAACACAATGAAAGATTCATGTAAGTCAATGTGATCCTTTACCGCATCCTCGAACAGCTTCTGACTCCGCCTTACCGCAGGCACAGAGGCGGGGCCTTTCAGGTAGATTTTATAGACTAGGGCATATTGTGGCGCTCGAGCCCCTCCAAAGTAAGCGTTAAGATCAAACTTTTCAGAAACTTCGCCAACATTTGCGATAACACCCCAAGCGTCATCCTGGCAGTGCTGCTCGAGCGCTTGAGTAAGGGTTGGAGTGAGCTCAGGCTCCAACTTGCCACCGCTGAGTTGATTATCCGGAGTTGAGACGAAGTACATGGCTACGGTAGTGTTGCCTTGGCCAAGCGCTCTGCCGGAGCGCTCGGATGCCAACCGAGTCTTAAGCTCTACTTGTTTTTCCCTCGCCATGAGCGAAATGCTGGTTTCGAAGTCGGCGAAAAAGCGGGCATCTGGGCCTACTTTTGTTTTGACGTAGTCGGAGTTAAAACTCTTGATAACATGGTCCCAGTCTCGGAAATAGAGCTCTGTGGTATCGTCGCGACCGCACCAATAATGATTTGCGTTCGGGAGTCCATCAGCACGCAGACCGAACGCGGCATCGAAAATCTGAGTCTGTATGTATTTGCTTTGAAGCAGGAGCCGAATTCTAAGTATTGGCCTGGAAAACGGTGCGATGGGAAAAATGCTCACTGCGGTTTCTGATCCTTGTCCTCGGGGGCATCGCTCAGAGCTCCGTGGACTCGAAAACGATAATCGAAGTACTCTTTCCGCGTCATACCCGGTTTTCGGCGGAGAACGGCAATTTGTTTGATGGAATGCTGGGATGACGACATGGTGAGTGACTGCTGGCTGCGGTGGCTTTGGCGTAAAACTTTTCAGTCAAGTACCACACTGGGCTTGTATGTCTGAGAATTCAGGTTACAGGGAGAGGGGCAAAGGATGCAAGTTGGGAGCTTATGTAAATGTCGTTCGGCTCCACCCCCACCATGCCGATGCATGATGCATCGTGAGAGACTGAGACTGCAATGCAGGGCGAGTGTGGGGGAGTGCGGCAAGGCGCGGAATGTGGAGGCATACAACATTACAAGAATGGCCCTACTTGCCGAGTCGGTATCGTGCGGGCGATCGGTCGTTCCGATGCGGTGGATGGACCAAGCGGTTGAATGTGGTCGATGTACGTACTCATACTACTAAGTCAGAGACAGACGCGGGGTAAGAGGGGCTGTCCCCGATTAAGCTACTGTAGGTGGTCAGTGCGTGCAACTGTTTAGCGGATGCAACACCATCTACACCTTCCTTGTAACGGGCTGAACGCCCTTTGGATAGCTCCTCGATGGAATCTCGGTCAAGCAGCAGACGCCAGGTCTTACTCTGCAACCCGGCATCTGTGCGAGGCCTAAGCGGCGCCCAGACGACGCGCTCAGACACTCGGTGCAACCTTTCTCCGACAAGTAAATAAACACCACGCAAGTAGACTCTATAGCTCTCTATCGAATATAACCTCTTATATACCTCGCGATTGCTCCCTAGAGCGCAGCCCCTTACATTTTATATTCAATCCCAATTAGACATAAGCCTTAGGCGGACTGTCTTCTAACTAAGTTTTAGAGCGTGTTGTTAGTGCGAGCTAGTAACACGGAGTTGGTGCTGCAATAGGTACGAAAGGCCTTTAGTGCAGCGAGAAGGTAGACCGTCGCAAGACAGTACACCTAGGGCAGAGCTTCGTAGGAAGTTCAGCCGTGAGAGACAGTAGGCGATTTAGTCGCCCAGGACCTGTCTAGGAAGTCCTACCGTGTCTTGGAAAGCCGAGCCGTAGGCGCAACGTCGCGTGATAAACTACCTGAAGGCCACTTGGGCCTAGCGTACAGTTAGCTAGAAGCGGACGTTGTAGTGAGAAGTCCTGTTAATCCTCTATCGGACGGGGTGCAGGCCGTGCGATTACTCTCAATCAGAGACAAGATCCCACAAGCGAGACGGCAAGACGCAAGTCTTCCTAGGGACGCGACACGACAGCAGCTAAACGCTGTTTAGAACTGGCTAGAAGAGAAGTACAGCTGAAGGTAAGCCCTACTAGTCCTCACTAACGAGGAGTAGGCCGCAGTCAAGGACTGCGCGAGCGGATCAAAGGACGATTAGAAGCCCTGCAC